TGAACCTGAAGAGTGCTACTTGTTTGTCTCTCCTGGGCAAGATAATATGTTACAGGTGTGGTTTTCCCAGAGTCATCATAAAGGGCACACAGTGTACAGAGTAACTTGCTTTCCCTGTTTGGTCCCAACTGCAGGCAGCAGCCAGACTTCTGTGAAGCGATGCTGAGGCATCTTTGTGTTGAACCCTGAGCTGTGGATGCACTGAGTATTGGTATCTAATTAGCAACTACTGTGGAGTGTCAGGTGCCATCTGCATGCCAACATTATTCTAACCCAGAATATCTGAACAGCAAGTGGAAGGGTTTGGATTAAAGTCCAGGTGCAAAGAAGGGCTGTTTCTCCTCTCCAATATGGTCACAGTGTTTTAGGGACAGTAGTTATGGCACAGAGAGCTAAGGTGAGGGTGACAAAGAAACACCAGTTCCTGTGTACTTCACCACTCTTCACTTATGTTTTGTCTTAAAAAGGTTTCCTACCCCTTGGGAAAACTTACAAATAGAAAAAGCTTAAAATTGCTTGGAGAATGTACATGACTCTGTCATCTAAATCCATAATGTTTCTGTGGTGCTGATATGACAGGGAATTCAGTGAGGGGGCAGGATATGGGTTTTCATTTAAGGAATTTCAAATGATAAACTAAATGCTCTATTTAATGAGGGTCAGTTTGCTACCCTCAGTGGGAAGTTAGTGCCCTGCTGAGTTGGGTGAGAGTCAGGTGCTTAAAATAAGTGCTAAATGTTTGGAAAGGAGGGAGGGTGGTAAGATGACAAAGCTTCCAGCTGAGTCAGTTACTCAGGACAGTGGGGGTTGAGACCACTGTGAGGAACTTACGGCAGATAAAAGGCAGTGTTGAAAAATATGTGATACTATGTATTGGAAGAAATCACTTAAAATGCCTACTCTTCAGTTCCAGGTTAAATAATGAACAGTGTAGAGAAGAGCTGTGTGCTCTTGTTTCTCCTTTCTCACAGCACAAGAGCAAATAACTGAATGTTATTGCCTTTAAAACTGAAAAAAAAAAAAAAAATTTTTGTTCAACATACATACTGTAAGGGCTCTTTGGGGCCATAAAAAGATTGAACTTTTGCATGTCTACTTACAGATGAGATGAAGAAGAGAAGATGCAGGACTGAAAGTCTTTATGGGAGGCAGAGGAGCATTGATTGAATGGTAGTAGAAGAAACAATAGGTTTGGAACATTGTTGTGTGGCCTATTCAGGAGCTTCTAGGTATTTGGTTTTAAGCTGGCCTATCCTGATTTCATCTGGTTTTAGAGTAACTAGGGTGTGGAAGTTTTCCCTCTGTTAGGTTTTATTAAATATTTATTATTGTGCTTTACAGGCTAGAGGGTGAAAGTGAGCAGCAAATATTTGGGTTGTACCTGGTCACTTTCATTTGGAAAATGAAATTTTCATGGAAGATAAGGCAGGAAGAGACCTCAAGAGTTGACCCCAATGGTTTCTCCTGCTACTGGTGAGGGATAAGAAGGTCTCCACCCTTTCTACTTTATGCCTGTCCTACTCTTCAAGATCCCCAGTATCAGTGTCTACATCCTTAGAAGGCAACTCATTTCAGTGTCTGTCTAATATCCTATAAATGTAATTGTGCTTTCCTTTAAAAACAAACAAAAATTTGACCACCTGCTCTTCGATTTCCATCTCTGCATTTCTTAATCAGCTCCCCTGTCTGTAGCAGGGGGATTATGTTGCTGACTTCCTCTCTGAAATGCCTGTGTGTCTGCTGCTGCCAAGAGCCATGCAAGAGCTGGGTATAATTGCTTCTGCTCGCACAGAATTCTCCAGGCCTGCAAAATGGGCCTTTTACTTATTCATTTTTATCTCAGTAGACAGAAGCTGCCACACTCTCTGGAGCAGCCCAGGCTTGGAGCCTGTTGGAAAAGCACTTCTGCCTCAGATCTTGGCTGTAGCAAGTAGAGAATTGCCGGCTTTCTCTTACCACTGCACTCCTCTGTCTGCCCTCCCCAGGAAGCTGATCCTGACCATCAGACTGGGTCTCTTGGGCACCCTCAGGTTGGACCCTCTGTGAGAGGCCTGTGCTGAATTTCTTCCTCTTCGTTTCCTGTTTTGAGGAATCTTTCTGCAACCTGGGGAACTCTTGGTCCATCAGTTATGCTGAATGTAGTGGGTGAGGCTTTCCTTCTCCCCTCTGATGTCTTCCTCCTTTCTTTTTCCCACAGCACTGGAAAAATCTGAAGTTTTTACTCTGTTTCTCGAAGTTAATTAATTAGATGACACGAATCATGTCAGCATGTGAAGTACAATAGACACTTCCATGTGCTGGTTGGAGTATTTCAGCTTTGTGTCTTTACTAATCTAGTACAGTAAAATGTTTATGGTGGCCATATTTGGAGTAGAATAGGTACAGCATTCTTCCTTAGATAGTACTGTGGTGCTCTTGAGAAGTTTTTAGCATTTCTTAGGTAATAAACCATTAATTATAATCAGTCTGAAGCGACTTAAGAAACCTGTCATCCTTCCTATTTTCTTTTTGGCTTAAATTCAATTCACTTGTACAATATATAGTGCTTATGTGTGGTTTTGAGTGTTGGGGAAACATTAAACTGGGGTTTAATGGAATCATAGTCTAATGCAGGAGCTTCTATTGATAAGTCATCAAAGCTGTTTTAGTGAAGAGCCTTTTCAGTCCTGGCTTTTAGCCCAAGGTCGATCTAGTTTCACCGAAGTTAATTTAATTTCTGACGTATTTTCTTTCCTTTAGGTGTCAGTTGTTGCTCCTTCCCCAACCAGACATGAAAGTCTGCCATCACTCTGCTCATTACTGTGGTAGCAGTTTCCATCTTGCACAGCAGCCTGAAGAGTCAGACTGCAGTCTTTTGACTGTAGTAAATTCTGTCAGGGTGGAGACAAAGTTGTTCGTGCTGTTACGAAAATACGAATATTCAGTCTAAATATTTGAATTCTGTCACTTAGAAAAAGCTGTTTAGTGTTGGCTCTCTAAGTTTTGAATTGTCCCTTCCAGTGCTTGGTTATAATCACAGGTACTTCTAACTTGCTCCAAAATAACTAGTTTATTCTGTATTTGCTGAATTGAGTTCAGTCTCACAGAGTTGTTGCAGTTGCTCTGCACAGGCAGATTTATGGGACAGACCTTACATGGTATTGGCGTGGTGTCTGTGGCTAAGGTGTGCAGGTTTGGGAGCAGTTCTCTAGCCCTGATTCTTCATGCTTTTGGTTTCAGTGCTCTGAGAAGTCAGTGCTTCTTACACTGCTGGCTTTTTATCTTGGTAATGAAAAGAGGAAGTGGACCAGATCGGATCAAATCAGGCTGATGTCTGTGCTGTTCTCGCAGTCACTGCTCCCTGAGGAGCTGATCAGTTCGTAGCTGTACAGAATGTGGCTGTTCTGGTCAGTGTCTGCCAACAGAGGCTGTTCCTGGCAGGGGTGCACCTGAGTTATCGCAAGTAAACACTGGAAAGATGTTCTGTACTGCATTGCAGGGCATGAAACTGCTTATTTCCAGCCTCCTCCTCCCTGTTCCGCTCCATCTCGGTGGCACGCTAATCTGGGCAAACAAATCCCGTCTCTGCTATCTCACCTGATTAGGAAGTCAGTGCAAATCCCATCCCTGCCTCCCCCAGCAGCTCCCAGCTTCCCAGAAGTGTGTGGGGAGTGCTTGTGAAATTCTCCCTTCCTGGATGCCGGCTGGTGGGGTTTGTCCTGGCACCCAGGCGGGAGGGATGGGTTTCTCTCTCTAGCTGCATATGTCTGAATGAATCATCATGCAGTGCTTTTAAATCATTTGTCCAGACAGAGGAAGGCACTGCTACTGGTAGTTGTACTTGGGAAAGGTGGCAAGACTGAGAACGTGAGGAATGTTCAAACTGTGCTGTAAAATTGCTCTGGTGTGGTTGAGAAGAAATTCAAGAAATACTTGAATTGCAGGCTACTGTTGGTTTGTAAAAATCTCTGTTTTCTTCTTGGTGGGCTCCCTTGAACCAGATGGTCCCCAGTGATTTTACTTTGGAGTAAATGATAAAGAGCTGGAACTAATGCTTGAGATCTGGTTCACCTTATTTCATCCCAGGCCCTCTGGTTTTGGGTGCACATGCTATGAGAGGCTGTACTGGAGATTTCCATCTCCACACCACAGATGTCCGCGATCTTCAGTGGCTTTACAGAGATGCCCAGTGCTCCTCTCATGTTGGTGTTTTAGCTGCAAGTCATGATTTGGTGTGTGAAGTTGAGGGTGTGGGATTCATGTTTCATTAATGTGGACACAACTGCAGCCACATGTCTTTGTGCACAGTGATCCCAAGCACATACACTTGTGTCCTTTCTGTAACAGCAGCGGCTCCATTCTGAGTTCAGAACTGCACGATGCATTAGTGCCCTTGTCTGGTACAGCCCTTGCCTCATGCTCTATAGTTTATTTAATTATTCTCTCATTGGGTCTGTGCAAGGAATTCTTACACTGATAAAACTCTCTGCAGGCATTGAAATTAGACACAGGTCTTCTGCATTGGAACAAAGTGTACTTCTTTTGACTGGGGGTTAATGAAATATGGAGTAACACATTTTAATAGCTAGTTATGGCTGTCTATGTGCATCTGTAGCTCTTAACCTCATGTTTATGTGTGTTTTCAGCCCTCCTATATTCCTATCGTGCATATGTATGCATCTTTTTATAATATATAAAAATACAGAATGATAGAATGGGAAGGGACCCATAAGGATCAGGGAGTCCAGTTCTCTAAGCTATTTATTTATGTGTGTGTACAAGTAGTTTATGGCTAAATTAACACTAAATTCTCCTTGGGACTTCTCTGCTTTCACCCTCCTTTGTATTAAGGCAATATATGAACTGTCATATGGGATCTGCATCCCACTTCTGACAGGTCCATAAATTACAGTCCTGCAAGGGAAAGCTCTGAGACCACTTGAAAGGATTTCCTTGACATTTAATGCTTGGGGAGGATGGACAGAGCATCCTGTTCTAGAAGACCTGCTCTTGCTGGCCTGTCTGTGACCCTGCAAGTGTGGAAACAGTTTATAGCTGATCAGGAATTTTCTCTCTCTCTCCGAAGTGTGTCTTGATGAAACCCTGCCGCAGAGATGGACACGGACGGCTTTGGGGAGCTGCTCCAGCAGGCAGAACAGCTGGCAGCTGAGACAGAGGGGATCTCAGAGCTGCCTCACGTGGAACGGAACCTGCAGGAGATCCAGCAGGCCGGGGAGCGGCTGCGCTCCCGCACCCTGACCCGCACCTCCCAGGAGACGGCCGACGTGAAGGCGTGAGTGTGGGGCACGGGCACTGCCATCCCGTGTGGGGCACGGGCACTGCCATCCCTTTGTGGGGCACTGGCACTGCCATCCCTTTGTGGGACACTTGGCCAACTGCATCACCCTGTAGTGCAGGATCACTGGGCACTAGCTCATCTTGTGTCTACCCCGTGTGGGGCACTGGCAACTGCATTCCCTGTGGGGGAGCACTGGGGCACTGCCATCACCGTGTGGGGCACGGCACTGGCACCCCCCCTGTGGGCACGGCCACGCCATCCACCCGTGTGGGCACCTGGCACTGCATCCTCGTGTGGGAGCCTGGCACTGCACCCCCTCGTGTGGGACACACCCTATGGCAACTGCATCAACCGCGTGTGGGACACATTGGCACTGCCATCCCGTGTGGGGCAACGTGCACTCATCGATGACCGTGTGGGGCCACGGGGCACTGCCATCCCTGTGTGGGAGCACTGGCACGTGCAATCCCCGTTGGGGCAACTGGCACTGCCAATCTCCCAGTTAGCTGTGGGGCCACCGGCACTGCCATCCCGTGTGGGGCACTGGCAAACATGCCTATCCTGTGTAGGGGGCTACTGGCATCTGCCATCCTTTAGTGGGTGCACTGATTCACTGCCATCACTGCCATCCCTTTGTGGGGCACTGGCACTGCCATCCCTTTATGGGGCACTGGCACTGCCATCCCGTGTGGGGCACTGGCACTGCACACCCTGCATGGGCAGGGGAAGCTGCTCACAGGGTTTAGTTTCTAACGGGTGGGGACTCCTGCGAGGAGGACGTGCCTGGGATAAATATGATGACTGCAAAGCTGGTATTTAGTTAGTGTGGGGTGTCGTGGCTTGAAACCCCCAAAAATCCAATTCTTGAGTCCAAGCCCCCCTCCCACAACTCACCCCAGTGTGAGGGGGGGGTTTTCCAGACACAACACAAGACTCAATATGGGGGAAAGGGAATTATATTACAATTATTACACAAATAAATATTATAATACATTATATACACAATCCTAACTATCTCTCCTATGATAAAGCAATATTTACATTGGATCAAATCTCTTTTCCCTCCAATAAAAGTCCAGAAGGGAATAAGGAAAGATCCTTTCCACTTTCAGGGCAGCAGTGTCTCTCCTCTCCAATGCAGCAGTCATAGCTGGAGTTGTAGCTGCATCTCTTTCCATTATACACAAGGGGGTCTCCTCTCACCCCTCTCAGCCCTTTGGGGGAAAAACACTTTTTTTCCCCATCACAGAGATTTTTTGTTTTGTTTTTTTTTCCCTCCCACCTTTCTCATACTTCCAAAAAACACCAGAGTAATTGAAGGATTTATTTGAGTAGCTGCTGTTCTCGATTTCGGGTGCTAAAGCCAAAAAGTGCATACCTTGCTCTGGCTGCTGCTGAAGGTGTTTTTACCAACACAGTGTACATTTTTTCTGTGTGGAAGGACTTGGCAGCTGTGCAGCACTGCAGTGGAACAGCAGAAAGAGTTCAGCAGGCTGAGGTGGTTGGATAGACACATAGGGCTGTTCTAAGTTTGGTTTTGTGCAGTTTTTATAACATGTCTGGGAGCACTGTCTGTACGTGGCTCGCTGCTGACCTAAATATTGGCAATGAGTCTGGGTTTGGAGTTCTGTCTGTTCAATACTAATTTCATATCTGTACAATTTCATCCTTATAGGTCTGTTCTTCTGGGGTCCAGAGGGCTTGATATATCTCACATTTCTCAACGACTCGAGAGCCTGAGTGCAGTCACTACGTTTGAGCCTCTGGAACCTGTGAAGGACACTGACATCCAGGTAGGGACATTTGTGACACGTGAATTACTGTGCTGGTCACTGCCATTCTTGTGTTGTGGTTCAAAGCTGTTCTTAGGCCTCTGTGGAGATGCTCTTGCTCTGTGTTTAACTCACTGGCTAGAGGAAATGCAGAGGAGGGATGTTGCTTTCAGTGGTGAAAGATGTTTGAGTTAACTGTCAGAAGCAGCATTAAGTATCAAGATAGCAGACATGTATTTTAAGATCCAAATTCTTGCTGAAGTCAAGAAGAACTAGGTACATACTTACTTTCTTTGTGGACCTGTCTTGGTTGGCTTTGCAAGCCTAAATTGCCCAGGGATGCTTCTCCCTCGTAGTTTTGAGACCTATTTTAATGTTTAATTGGAAAATCACATGTGGGACCACTTGGCAATTTTGAGGTGTTGGAATAGGGGCCATTTGAATCAACAACCAGAAGAGGTGAGTATAGCTTTTTTCTTTCACTGCATCTCAGATGTCATAACCTTGTCTTGGTGGTAGACTGAATTTGCCATGTTTCATATGCTTTACCAGGTGATTTAATCTTGTAAATTTTCCTGTAGATTGTCTCCCTGGGTGTCTTAAAAATTCATGTGAACCATCTATTTTTGCTTTCTGGCCGTCGCCTGCCCCTGTAGAGTATCTTCCTGATGAAATCTGCAGGATTCATTACTCAGTTAAGGGCTGGTAATGGAATCGACGTTGTGGGTTGCATTGAAGGTAGCAGTCTGAATTACTGGTTAATCATTTTAAAGTTTATCTTCTCTCCTTACTGGCAGACGACTAAATTATGAGGGTTAAAAGAGTTGTAAGCTCTTCTTTTTTTTTTTTTTTTTTTTTTTTTGCAGGAGTAGTGTGCTCTGAACTACTTAACTTCAGGAGGGGCAGGGATGCATGTGAAATTACCCCATTTTATCTAATGTGTGTTTTATTTTAGCATTTGGTGCTGTCCATTTTGGGTGAATGGGCCCTTAGTTTAGTCTCGTTCTGGTGTTGGGAGCCCTGTGGTCTCCTGTCTTCAGGCAGACTTATTTAATCCCAGTTCTCTAAGGCCTGCTTTCACCAAAAATGAGTGTGCTCTGGAGACTTTATCTATTGCCTGATCATAGAGTGAGAGCTCTAAACCTCTGGCATTGTTCGCTTTCTATCTTTTCTCATTTTATTCCTTTGTTCCAGTTTGTGATGTTGTTGTATTTCTAATTGGTAGTGTTAAACTTTGTACAAGTCTTCCTTGACCTCATTCTGTCTAGATTTTTTTTCAAGAACTCCTGCCTCTTTTTTTCTTTTTCTTTAGAGTTTACTACTGTTGCTAATTCTTTGATTTCTGGTGTTTTTCCTTTCTGCTTTAAGAAGAATCTTTTTGTGGATTCTCAAGCCCAGAAGCAGTGGAGCGCTCGCTCTTTCAATCTGAGATTTGTGGCATGTAAGAAAATAGATAGGACTGCCTGAAAATCACATTTTATGTTATGACTGCTTACCTAACTAAAATGTGAAGGTTTTCTTCTTTCTTAATTATACCAGATCTCGAGGCCTAATTTGTTACCATGATTCTGGTATATTCTTACGGTGATCCCAGAATGTTTTCTCCAGTATATTTTTTTTAGTCACCCTTGTCAATATTTGAATGTATCCTCCTGTTCAGGAAAAGCTTCAAGTTTAACATAAAACTGCTGGTTAATTGTAAATCAATGTGTTTAAGTGGCCAAATCAGCCAATGAGATTCAGCCCTTTCTTTAGGAAAACAGCTTAAAAGTACAAATGAGAAACAGGATTAAAATCAATCATTTAAATCAAAGTTCCCTGTTTGCTCTTTTGCATCATGATTAACACTGGTGGTTTAATCAGTGATCACTTTAACGACTCATCTCTTAGGCCTAATATTCACGTGCTTGGAATCTTAAATTTTTTTTGCAGGCCATGTGCAGAGAACATTCATAGTCAATTAGCTAAGAGTGATTTGCAGTGGGAAGCATGGCCAGGGGCTCCCTTTTAGACCATCTTGCAGGCACATGAGTGAAGTGTGAGTTCTGAGTGTTTTGTCCCTGCTCGTTTTTGCAGTTCACAGGTGCAGTGATTTTTATGTTGTCTTGCAGAACATCATCCTCTGCTCTGTCTGAGGATATTTGCAGTCACATCTCAAGCTGTCTGGCTGGTGTCAACAGTGCTCTGTTACCTGACAGTTACTTGCTTAGAATATGGACAAGTCCCTGCACTCATCTGTAGGTTTGGTATGCAGTCATCAACACTTTCAGGGTAGTTTGTTGCTAGTTATGTAAGACACTGCTGACTGTCCTCTAATTAGCTCTATTAATAAAGAAAGTCTTAAAGTTATTTGGTGCTTTAGATAAAGATGTGCTATGAAAGTTTCTTTCTATGTTACTTTTTCTTATGCCTTCTGATGATGGGATTCGTTTTCCTTATTCCTAAATAATTAGTTTTATAAGGCTCCTTCAGAGGTTTTGTGTTTATTTTGGGCCAGATGTAACTGTCTCTTTGCACTGTGTAGAATACCTCCTCCATAAGTTGCTCCCATTGTTTCTGGAAGGCAGAGTGAACAGTGATAAAAGGGAGGGATCTGTTTATTTCTTTAGGAGACTTTACTCTGCTGTTACTCAGTATTTACACAGACATGCTGGAAGGTTTTAATTCTGTGGATTGGGAAGGGCTGTTCTCTTCTGCATCGAGTCCTCAGCCTGTGCTTTCCAGCGTAACCATTCCTCTTTTTAACCAGCAAAAACTTCTTCATAAATCCTTAATGAACTTGGTTCACACTTCATCATCAGTGTTACAGGCTCAGCTCTCCTTTCTCAGTCGTGTCTTTTCCTCGTGCTCAACACACAGACTTGCAACTCTGTGTAGATTGCAGCAAATTTATTTAGCCTTAAATCCTGTCTGAAACTTTTGTAGAGTCTTTAATTATTCTTTTATATGTGGAGGAGAGCATCCTAAGGCATGAAGTCCCAGGATGCTGATGCAAAACATTCAGAAAGTGTTAAAAGAATTTAGGAATTCACCTTAATAGATTTAGGAATTCACCTTAATAGAAGTCTTGACTTGGGTTAACAAGCAGGAGGGACTTTCTGTACAGAACCTCTTTAAATGGTACACTATAGTGCTGACTAAAAAGTGCACCAAATTGCAACTCAATTAATTATCTGAATTATTTATCAGTTGTAAAATGTAGATTGCTTGCACATAAAAGGGTTGTGAGTCCAGGAAATGTCTCCCACTAGAGCAGTAGGCCGGGAAGATTATGTAAAAGATTCTGGGCTTGCCATTGAATTATAGGAATTTGTATTTTTCCTCTCTCATTTCAAAGCTTGTGTTCTTAAATTGCATGCAGCACAACAAACACTTCTTGCAGTAAATTCAGTTTATAATAATTCTTGTGTCAAGAATTTGTACAGATCAAGATTTTTCTGGGGCATTTTGGCAAAACCTTTTCCAAATTGAATGTGCTACTCAAGTGATTCTCGATGTCATATTTGGCACTATTTATGTGCTTGGGTCTTTTTGTTTGTTCCTTTGTGTCTTATAAAAATCCCAGGTAAGAATTGATCATGTTAGTCTGTATCCCAAAGACAGGCTGTGTGCACATAAACTGATTTGGGTACCTGGGAAGGGTTTGTTGCAGGATCCAGGTCCAGTTCATACCTGCTGAGATAGTTTGCCTGGTTACAGTGTATGTTTATGCTTTATTCTGGGCTGTGGTTTTGAACATGTCACGTTGGCTTGATCCTAGATTTTACCCCCCTCCCTGCTTGTTTTGAAATGTCTAAGCCCAAAATCACGGTGGTAAATGTTAGAAATAGCTTTGCTCTCACTTTTCAAGCTCGTTCCAGCTCTGTGCAGATTTGTGAAATGAATGCTAGAGGCAGACACGAGCTCTCCTTGCGTGCATTGCTCATCTGCTTAGGAGGTTTGAGGTGAAGGCCTGGCTCCATCACACTGAAGGGAAATTTTGTTGAATTATCTCATTTGTACAACTGTTTCACCTTGACCTTCTGATCTAGGCAGAAATGAAATGAAAGGTTGCATAGTAGGGTTTGGTTTTGATTTCTGGGTGTGGATGTTCAGGGTATTGACTGAGTAACTCTCTGGAGGTCCAGATACAGAAATAAGAGCTTTTATCTAAATGAGGGCAGAGGGTTAGACTGAAATCCATCCAAGTGGCAATGGAGACAGACTGAAATTAAGTATCTGGGATATTTTCAAGCTTTTCAAAATACCATGAACAGGTTCTGCATCAAAGATAGCTTTGACTTCTGCTTTAGTGTTGGTAGAATCTGAGTGCCAGGCTGCTTGCTCCAGTACTATGTGTTCTGTTTGTGTATATGTAAGCATATGATTTGTTAGAGTTTTTAAATTATACCAGGTACTGAAAGGGTGTGTTATTCAACAGTCTAGCTCTTACTGCTCTTCTGTATTACCATTTGTGATATACTTTGTGGTATCTGCTAGAATAATACCAAAGCCTGTGGGTAATCTACTAGAGGGTAACTAAAATCAGAGTTTATAAATGGAAATGCTGACACAACCTTAAAGGGGCAGCCTCAAGTGCTGTTCACCATCCATTGTTTGCATTAGCTTAGCCTGAAAATGCATTTTTCCTTTTGCAGATTTTGTCCTTTCCCATTTGCCAAACATTGATTTCTCCCCCCGCCCCCAAGTCCTTCAGTTCTAATGGAGCTTGAAATTAAGGTGGCTTTATTTTTCTGTGGCTTCCTCGCTCACCCAAATCGATGATGCCAGCACAGCTGTGGGGACCTTTTAACCATCGCAGAGCCGCGGTGGGGAATGCAGGAGGGCAGCCTTCCACCTCAGCTTTTTGGGGCTGCTCTTGGTTTCTTTGCATTGCTGCGATGCAAGGAGTGAAAAATAGTATTTGCAGCCCTAGTTTGAATTCTTCAAAAGCTGTAGGAATCTTGGGCTCCAAAAATAGCTCCAAAAATACCTTTCTACAAAGGTTCTCAGAAGTAATTTTTTTTATCCTCCCGCTGGTA